AGCACGAAAAAAAACTATGTCTTCCTTAGTGCCTGGTCAAACTTGTCGTGTTCCTAAGATGATGGTTAATGGATTTTGCATGCATGGAACTATTAACAAGAACATGTGTGTTTTATTTAGTGATGCTAAATAGTATCCTCGGTTCATTGGGTGCATACCTGTTTTTGTGTTTGTCATTTTTACCACCATTACAGATGTTTTAAAAAAACGAATTTGTGTGCAAAGAGACAGATAATTTGCTACTTCTACTACCTTAAATGTTAATTTACTCAGGCTAATAGCTATTATTTGGTTGGCTCTTATAACAGAAAGGGGGTGTTTCAAGTAGTACCACGCTGTTAGCACGAATAGATAGAGGGGCATATATGTCAACGTTTTGCACAGACTTACAATCTCCCTAAATCCTACCTAAGACCCCCGCACTTGTCACCGCCATCTGACTCTTGCTATGGTTACCTTTCCTTCATATGCATGTCTATTATTGGTTTGGACAATACACCATTTTCTCCACGCAGCAGTCCTCATTGTACCCCATAGGACTCCATCTCCATAGGTGTATACCTTAGTAACATTTAGAAAAGAGGGGTGCAAGATAGAAAAGTGAGGTGGAGATGGCAGAGCTGCAGAGATCTTCTCAAACATTTAGGAGGTCTGGTTCATCAGGTTTGGTCTGGGACAAGAACCAGAGGGATCATGGGGTAGCGCTGCTGATGCTGTTCTACCTGCTTTAGATCCGCCTTCACCCAAGGTCTCACGGTGCATGTTCTGTGGGATTTTCAGGAAGGAAGATCCCTGACAGCCATCCAAATCCAAGCCCAGAAGGTACTAGGGTGTTAATGTGAAATAAACTTTCTGCTTGTGTCAGGGTTGGCTGAAGTTACAGTTGCACCATTATAGGTGTGTTCTTGTTGTGCGACTTGGGAGTTGTTTGAACTGGTCTGGTGCCCTGTTGTTCCATTCTTTCTGTTTATATGGATTTTCGTACATATGGCCTGGCTGACTGTTCTATCAAGTACATGATGCTCACTTGTGGCTCTAGCGTAAATGGAGAATTGGAGATACACTTATACATGAACATGATATGTGCACGATGTTTTTGTTCGTTACTATGTTTCATTTCGAGGTAATGTATTACTGTATACTGATCATGGTCCATGTCAATGGCCTTGTGACCTAAAAATTAAATTGCATACGAATTTGCTGCACCCTGAGTTCGCCTTTTCATGGAGGAAGCCATTTTATTTTGTATATAAGACCATTATGCAAGTGTCTTCCAGATGATTGTTGAGTATAAAGCTTTTATTTTGAGAATGGGCTGCTATGCTGAATACTAATTTTTAAAAAGTCCACAAGCAAGTAATATAATACTTGTTAGATATAGAAAATAAACATCTGGTATCTCCTTCGATTACTTGAGGCAAGTTGTGATACATCAATGGGTAACCTGATTTGTGTATAGCAACTAGTAGTAGCAAGAAAAAGCACCAAGGTTGGGAACAGCCGAACAGCCTTTGTGTTATGTTGAAATGACACAAACAGAGGAAATAAAACTGTGAACTGCTAGAGCGCCCCATCTGTTCCTTTTTATTTGACCTACTCCTAGAGTCGGTTGTAGTCCTAAGCATCATCATATATTTGAAAAATGTAGGGAGTGCCTATGGCCCTGTTCGCTTCTCTTATAATTCGTCTTTTTCAGCTTGTTTTTTCAGCCGGAACAGTGTTTTTCTCTCACAACAAATCAGCCGAAATAGTGTTTCGGCTTGTTTTTTCAGCGAAGCGAACGGGGCTTAGAGATGTAAAACTGCTAGGAAAATAGTCGCTTCTATCTAGTTCTGGTTGCACGCATATCACGAGCTCATTAATGGCCCTATCAAGATTATTGCTCGAAGTCTGAAACTTTGTAGATATTTATACAGGGACCGGCCGGAGTTGTGTACTCCAATATCTGCCCCCAGAACTTGTTTATTATCCATGAAACGATACAAGTTACGGTATTTGGCAATAAAAGGAAAATGACCCAACAACCAACATATGTTCATATGTTGTGAACCCTCACCCAAAAACAAATCAGAAAACATATTCTGACTTTGCTGATTATTTTCATCTAAAATGTAAACATTTCGCACTCAATTAAACACCACTACCCTACTCATACTCTGCTAACCCATCTCCAACGAGCCGTTCTTTTTACATCCCTATCAATCATCCGTAGGGCTAGACGAAAAACTCGCAGCTCGATATGAATATACCTGGCTCACGAGCTAAATGAGTCAGCTCGAGCTTCTAAACAAGCTGGCCTTCTGGCTTGATCTTGATGAGCCTGAACGAGCCGAGCGAGCTGGCTCGTTATCGTCCGGCTGCTCTAGCTGATGGAATCACTCTTGTCTCACACACCACACCAATGTGACCTCCAGTTTAAGAACATAAAACTAACTCTGACCCTCGCTCGCTTGAACAAAAAATCAACGAACTCCATCATATAAACCTCCGCGCTTCTTTATTTTTTGAAAAGTTACAAAATTATACTCATAAATGTTACTAGGATAGAAATGTTTTTTATTGATGCTATGATTTTTTTCACTGACGGTCAAAAAAGCACAAACACCGTTACAAATCTAAGTATAGGCCCATGGCTATGAACCGTAAGTGGAGATTAAGTTTCGTTGACAGTTATCGTAAGATTACCACAAGTAAAAATATTCACATTTATACTGGTTGTTAACTTAAGCTACTACCGTTATAACTGTTATTTTTATTTTTACAGGCGCATGTTAAAGTGAACCACCGTTCTGAACACTATTTGCATGGCAAAACAAGAAGGTGGGACACAGCACGATGGATTTTTCCAAGCGTGAGAACCAGTGGCGGATGCACGATGCGGGATAAGGAGGGGCTAAAACAATGGAGATGTTGATTTGCATGAAAATTTAATGGTGAAATCAAGCTTTTACTACAGTGATTAGGCTTGAAATCAAGACATTAGGGGGGGCTGGAGCCCCCCCTTTGGATCCGCCACTGGTGAGAACCACTCTTCTCTGTCTCGTTGCTCTCTCTCGCTCTATCTTCTCTCTCTGGAGGAGGCGTGGGCCACATGTGGGCCTATCGGCATAGGCCTGATACACTACAATACACGGGCCGCATGCGGGCACAACGACGCAGGCTTCATCGCGGCCACGATATGTGTGGATCGTTTCGGTGCGGGCCGCGCGGCCACAGCATGCTCGGGCCATGGAGGCAGGCCTAGGTGAGTTTGTGTTCATGGTTATGTTCTTTGACATCTCACTTCTTTGAACATGTCTTTGGCAGCCAAATTTTTGTTTATAACAGTTAGCGAACAAATTTATGCCAACAATTTCTCGACATAATTTTTCTAGCAATACTTTTTATATAATAAATTTTACAAACAATGTAACTTATGCACATAACTTTTCTAGCAACACTCATATCGACTGCACGCTTAAACACAGATGAAACTAACAGACTCAGAGCACGCCTACCAAGCACAACTCACGCACACCATACAACTACACATGCTTGGTCCCCTCTGGGAAAAAACCTTTGTGACATCCTAGTTTATCCAAGACAGAATGGACCAGGGCGGGCTGGCTGCACGACGGCAGGCGCAACCACCGTTTCAATGAAAGGACCAAAGTAGAGTATCACATTACCAATAAGGAGATAGATATTGTATTTCTATGCTTCTAGCCTCCAAATTGGTTGAGCAAAAATATAGCTGGCATATATCCCTGACTCAGAAGAAAGCTTAAATGGAAGGCATGGAGAGTTTAGTGTTAACATGAAAATGGGCATGTAGCTATCTAAGATGATAGAACACTAATAATTACATCTATAAACATTATAAAGGGAGTACAAAGTGACCCAAGTTAACGTGGGAAATCCATGGACATCAAGATCTCCCTTTCCATACTAAACCGCCTGCTGATGTCATTCCCATCAGTACTGTAACTCAGGCCCTGTTTGGTTCCCACCTCCTAAAATTTTTAGGAGCTAAAAGATTTAGGAGCTTTTAGCAGCCATCTAAAACCTCATAAAAATATGTTTAGTTCCACCTCCTAAAGGTGACTAAAAGCAATAAGTACTGTTGAACAAAGACACTTTTGCCCTTCCTCCTCCTACCCCTGCTACCCCTGCACCCGCCGCCTCCCGCTCCGGCGAGGCCGGCTCCACCGCAGGCGCGCGCCCCTCCGCCCGTCGCACCACCAGCCTGCCCGCGAGCTCCGCGGCGAGCCTGGACGCGAGCGCCGCGGCGAGGCTGGGCGCGGGCTCAACGGCGGCGAGCCTGCGCGCTAGCTCCACTGCGAGGCTTCTAAAGAGCTCCGCTGGCGCCGGAGCACCAAGCCAACACAGGAACGCGAGGTGATTCCAGAGCGCAAGATGCGACGGCGGAGGAGGAGCGACCCGCGCCTACCCGGACAGCAGCGCTCCCGTGGCGCAAGCGGCGACGGTGGAGGAGGAGCGGCCCGCGCCTGCCCCGGCACGCGAGGTCACGCAGTGCCTCGGACCTGCCCGGAGCGCAAGGTCACACCGGCGGCGAGCGAGATCCGCCGCGCAAGGTACCATCGGCGGCGAGCGATGTCAACCGAGCGAGAAGACGGCTTCACGCATGAGATCCCAAGTGCCGATGGAAACCATTGCTCTCCTCCAGAACGCGGTTTCGGGTGGTTTTAGGAGGGAGGGAGCGGCGGCGGGGTTCGGGAGGGAGCGGGGGCGGCGCGAGGGGGCGGGCCCGTGCGGCAGCAGCGGGGGGAGGGAGGGTGGAAGAGAGAGAGAGGGGGTAGTGGGGGTCCAGATGGACTTTAGGAGGTTTTAGGAGGGGTGGAGCTCCTAAAGTTTTTGACCCCTCCTAAAGTTTTTAGGAGGTTTTAGAAGGAGATGTTTGGTTCTTTGGGTAAATTCTATTCATATTTTAGCTCTAAAACTTTTAGGAGGGATAACCAGGCCTCAGTTGCCCAGCTAAAGGAATGTCCACTACGTGCTCCTCAGTTCTTAGTGTTTTTAATGCTGGTTGCTGCGCTTTGCAGCACCTCAAGTCTCATCTCGACTTGCTTCATCGTGGGCCTATCTTCCCCGCTTGAGCTTACACACATTGCTGCGATCTCTGCCACTACTCTGGCTTCTTCCTCCCCTTCCTTGGCCACTTGTGGGTCTAGTATCTCAGAGAGCTTGTCTTGCCTATGTAGTATCAGAAACTGCTCCACTAGACTGTAACCTGCCGCTGTCATGTAAATATGCGGTTTCTCCCTTGTTAAAAGCTCCACAAGCATGACACCAAAGCTGTACACATCACTCTTCTCAGTGAGCCGTCTCGTGTTATAGCATTCTGTATCCAGATATCCAAAAGTTCCTTGAATGGCTGTGGTTATTCTAGTCTCATCAATAGGGATGCCTCGAGAAGCTCCAAAGTCTGACACCTTCGCTGTTAGATTATCATCAAGCAGAATATTGGTAGCCTTGATATCTCTGTGAACTATTGATATCGAAGCAGCAGAGTGTAGATAGGCAAGAGATCGTGCAACTTCAAGGGCAATTCTCAGTCGTTCCCTCCATGGCAGTGATTGTGGAGAATTGACATGAAGATGCTCATAAAGGGTTCAATTTGAAATGAACTCATACACTAACAATGGAACCTCTGTCTCCAGGCAGCATCCGAAGAGTTTTACCACATTTCTGTCGTTTACTTGAGAAAGAATGGCGACCTCATTTATGAAACTGTCAGTTTCACTCTGTATTGCTCGTCTTGACATTTTAATGGCTACAACACGTTGGTCAGACAAAATGCCTTTGTAGACAGTACTATGACCTCCTTTGCCGATCTTCCGATCCACGTCGAATGTATTTGTTGCCTTTTCTTGCTCATCCAAGCTGAAGATCATCTTTTCAGCAATGTCCTTGTCTACTAATTGTTGCAATAACAACCCACGGTTTTTCCTGAAATAAAAATTTCTCAACTTCTTGGCTTTTCGGGCTCTTAGCTTTTGCCTCAAGAGAATAACAGCGAAAATGAGAAGAACAAGGCATCCGCCACAGCCAATTCCTGTAGCAACAGATAATCCGGGAAAATATATGGATTCAATCATTCAAATATGTTTCAAGTAGTGCTTCTGTCAAAAGATAACACTAGCAATTGAAGCTACAGGTTATTGGAAGATCTTGTTACCTGAAAATTTTTCTGTATCTTTGATGCATCCATGAGGTTTCTTGGGGTTCCCAGATGTGCCATGTGGACAGACGCAATTATAGGATCCATCCATGTTAATGCAATCGCCAAAGCATGGGTACTTATCTCCGATTGTGCACTCATGAGTATCAGCTGCAATGCAAACCACAAATGTGAAGCATGATGCTGTGAGAAGAATTGGCACAGCAAAACTGGAACACTTTTTATTTTCTTCTCTTATGTTTCAGCGATGAAGTGAAACTAGAACTTGACCTGTGAATGACAAGTTGCATACCGTGGCATCCATTTGTTATGTAAGGGTTGCCCTCGTAGCCATGTTTGCAGCGGCATATGTACCCTGATGATTCACCATTCCAGTGATCATGGCAGTAACTATTGGAGCTAAGGCACCCATAATCACTTGATCTCCGAGCATCTGCACAAGACAGGTTTCTAAAATTCCACTTGCCACCAGCCTTGATCTGCAGCGGAGGAGCGGAGCCAGGTATGCCCCATGGTGTGACTAGGCCATCTGAGACTGCCTTCTGCAACAACATACCATGGTTGTTTGTGTTCCACCATTCCTTTTCTGCAATGACAAAGGAAGCGTTGAATGGCTGCTCCGTCGTGCCATTTTCTGCACCCAAAGGGTCAAGCTTGATCGAATACATATTGCTTGATCCCGGCAAGGATGCCTCGCAGCAGCCTACACCAGAGCACGTGCCATCGGTGGCTACCGCAGGCTGCCCATTCAGGCACGACGAATTACACATAACGATCATGTTTTCTGAATCTGGCAGCATGACTTGAAACTTGAACCCACATCCCATGACGAAGAAGTTGTTCCAGAAAGAGGACAGTGCGAAGATGCTGTCGTCAAGGGGGACCCCCCAGTTCATACTGTATGGATTTCTCCCTGTCAGACTGGCGATACCATTATCAATGTCCAGCCTCCCATGATGCAGAGAAATGTTGAGCACCACAGCGCTAGTATTGCCCAAGAAGAGCTTAGGGGGGCTGTGGGTCTCGTCGCAGGTGAGCATAAACCCCTCGTAGTAACAACCGGCACCAACACCAAATGGGTAAGGTACACTGACCTCGCCGCACTTGCTAAGGCAACCAGGCAGTGCTACGTTGGTGGCTGCGTGGAGCACTGGTGTGACTGCCAGGAGATGTAGCAGGTGCAGCGCTGCTATGGCTGCCACAGGCATCATATGATTTTGAGGGGTGAAGCAGAGAGCCATGGTTGAACTTGTAAAACTGGAAACATCTCCAGATCCTAAATATGAAGACATGCTCTGTGACCTTTTAAAAAAAAGACATGCTCTGTGCAATCCTGTGGATGCAGTAAAATAAGGTAGTACTTTGACCCCAGAACTTAGGTAATTCTGGATTATGCTGAAAGGATGAAGAATCTAGTCAAATGGTGAGTGCAAACTTTCAACCTCGTTCTGCCATTGTCAAATGACCGCACCTCGTAACACACGACGGTATGTCTCTGATTCTGTCAGAGAGATTTTTTTTTAATTTTAACACTTTTTCGAAACTAATTTTAAATCTAACGTTCTCATTTTTTTTTAAACTAACACTTTTGGCCGCGCCTATTGCCCTGGCGCGGCTAAATGCCTGTGCCGCGCCATGCATGGTGGCGCGACAGAGGGCTGACGTGGTGACCAGGGCCTGCCGCGCCACCGACCTTGGCGCGGCAGTGCCGTGCCCTGATCCGTGGCGCGGCTGGGCCAAATAAATACCGCGCGCGAGCCCCGCCTGCCCGAGCAGCCACGCCACCTGGCCGCCGCGCCCGCCGCCCGCCCGGGGGTACCTGGACGGTTTAATCGAAACGCGTCGCGCCCGTCTTTTGTTGAATTATTTTCACGGCCGAATAAAGAATTTGATAAGCCAATGATTTGTCTTTCATAATACGGTTATGCACCATTTTAACTAATCGATTACGAAAATTTGCCACCAGCGTCGAGATACGCCGGAACTGTCGGCTCCCGAACTAGTTGGTACGTAATCTCGCCGGCAGTGCTGCCGCGACGCAAAGAAACGAATAAGAAGCAAGTTGACAAGCTGCCACGTAGCATATTCATTGTTTTGACATAAGTTTGACATAACATAACCAAATAACCCTGCAAGTTTTGGATGCCAATATTCGTTTGACCTAACAAACTAAGAACCAGGAGTGTAACGATCCCTCGGACGTCTCTGTCGCTTCGGATTTGTTGGCAACACATTGGGAGTGTAGCCAACGTCGGTATGGTCGCGTCGACGGTGCGTACGGCTCGTACCTTGCAAGTATATGATACGCACGGTTACTTATAATTCTTTATGATCGTTAATTCATGGAGCCTACGTATTGAAACAAACTATCTTTGTTAGTACCTGTGAGGCTCCTTGGGTGCCAAGCGGGGCACCACCAAGCTGAGACATGTCGATCTCGTCCTGCGGCCAATCGTCCCACTGGTCGTGCTGTCTGCGGAAGCCCGGGGGGTCGTCGTCGTCGTCATCGTCGTCCTCGGTTGCAAGGTCCTTCCCAGCGTTATGATGTGGTGGTGTACGCACCGCGAAAGTGGCACCTGTCATCGGCTGAGAAGAGCCGGTTGGTGTCCTCAAAGAGGCTGAAGACGTACCACCCGACCGCGCCGGTAGTGGCGGTTCCTCATAAGGAGTGTCCATGCAGCTCAGCTTCTGAGCTAGCTTCCTGCAGCTCTTCTTCACCTTCTGCATAAATAGACGTTAAAGTTAGTGCATTACCCAAACGCATATACACTAAAGAAATATTTTCTGAACGGACACGTTTTTGTTTACCTCCACAAAAGCCGCGAGAACGCCTGGCCCCTGCCCTCTAGACTCGTGTAGCCAGAATGCTGCTTCGTTGGACAGCCTTGACAATTGTGTCGCCTGGGTACAGAAACACGGTTGGACAGTTTTAGTACACATACTTAATACCAAAATGTTAACAAATTGTACCATTCAAGTATATTACCACGTATCTTTGAAGCGGGGCTCTCTGTAGCTGTGTGTCCTCCCTAGTCGTAACGTCGTACACATCTTCGATGACATCTTCCTCTGAGTCCTCGTCAATCGCCACGTCAGTGTACGGGGGCTTGATATGTATCCTCGTAGACCTGTGAAGCCACCGCAGGTACTCGTCGAAGGTGCGCTGGTCGTGTGGAGGACCCTCAAGGACCGCATGTGGTACCCTGTTCTGCCACAAATGGATCCGCGAGTTGTGTGTCACGCGCTAATCCTTGGTCTTGTACCTCTTCCTGCGGTCATACCTGCAACAAAACGATGTTAGTTGTACCAAACAAACCTCTGAATTATAGCATTGTTATTAATCGATAACGCACCCGTGCAATTCTTGGTTGGTGGAGTAAAGCGGTGGTGGGCAGCCTGTCATTCTTCTAAACTGTCTGCAGACCCGGATGGGCAAGTGAATCTCGACCACATGGAAGAAAATAAGAGGGACGTCGCAGCGATACTCGTGTGACTCGTCCCTAGTGACAGGACTGAGATAGGCCTGGAGCTCCGGAGAATCCCAAGGACACCAATGCACCTGAAATTTCGTAATTGAGTTAGGCTGTGATATAGTGTACATCGAAGAGACACATGTATGATAGTAAAGAGAGCATAACCTGGTGTGTTAGTATGTCGAGACCATCCGTGCACTCCCTGTACTTGCGCCACGCATTCCCTCTAACTAACTGTGCTTCCGTCCAGATATACAGAGCTGTAGGGAGTGTATCATGCCCGTTCAATCGCTGCATTTAACATGATAATGAATTAGCCACTAATAATCTCATCATATCTAACTGTCTCGAAGAATATAATGAACCGAAGTACTTACCGGTAAACCATTATTAAGGGGTCTCCCAACGGACAATCGTTCTCAACACCAAACCTGGAGTAGGTAGGAGCAACCCTAAGGTTAGCATATCCTGAGGTGCGATGGCAGGCAACGCATAGCTGTCGATACATCCATGCTAGGAATGCGCTGCCTCAGCTGTACGCCGCTATGTTCTCCCACGGCTGGCGAAGTATGTCTAGGAAGATCTAGCTGGTGGTGTTGCTCGAGGCGTCTGGAAAGAGGAAAGCACCAAGAAAGTGCCAGAGCCACACTCGAGCGAACCTGTCGATCAGAGCCTCCTCAGCCTATGGGTCCAAGTAATCAAAGCGCTCTGTGATCCAAGACGACGAAACACCGGAACTTTTCCTGAAATTGACCAAAGAAAATGAGACCCCATGGCTGCAGGAAAGCAATGCAAGTATTAAATAGGCTTGAATTACTCACTTATTTTTTTGGAAGCATCGTCGTCCGGTGGAAGAAAGCCAGTAAACTGAGCCACCAGCTCCCTCCAGTGATCATTATCAATTATCCCTGTCACTGGAAGTCCCCCAACCGAAGGCCTAAAATAGCCTTCACGTCCTACAACGTCAAGGTCATCTCGCCGCAAGGTAGGTGGAACGTGTGGGTCTCAGGCCTCCACCTGTTATAAGAATAGAACGACTGTTAGTTGCCTCAAATTTGTTACAAGAAAGTTTACGTACAAAGAATGCACTCGCACCTGTCTATAGCTATAGTAAGTAGTGCTGGGTCAAGGGGCGGAAGACCGTGGTTGACAACACGGACAAGCTCGAGAAAGCCGGCACGCTGTATGTACGGCGCATAACGCTCGTCCCACTGGTGCGCCCTGGTGTGCGTGCGAGGCATCAAAGGAGGCAAGGCCACCTCTGTGTCGGTGTCCCTCAAGATGTGTGCTCGGTGCTGGTCGTCGTACTCCACCTTAAGAATGGGGTACAACGGGTGCTGCGTGGGAGGAGCCATCTTGTTACAGATTGATAAACAGAGCGTTAGAGTATTCAAATTAACAAAATTCAAATTAACATTAGTAAGTTCACAAACAAATTTATTAACCTAACTATCCTAAATCCCTAAACCCAAAATCCTAACTATACTAGATAATAAATACATAATCAACCCATAAAATCCGTAAACCCTAACTAAATACAAACAACTATAAATTAAATACATAATTCAACCCTAAACCAAAAATCCCTAACTAAATAACTAACTATAAACTAAATAACAAATACATAATCAATCTCTAAACCTAAAATCCTAACTATACTAGAACACACTACCTCGAACCTAAAAACTACCTACGTAAATCACAAATAAATTCACTAACCTCACTATCCTAAATCACTAACTATCCGAAACCACTAACATTCATAAATCAATAACAATCATAAAACCCTAACTATTCTAAATTACTAACTATCCTAAATCACTAATTATCTAAATCAATAATAATAAAAAATATGAAATCGAGAGGGAGGTACCTTAAGAGCGGGCGGCCTTGACGCGCCGGCGTTCGTGGCGCGGCCGGCGTGGGCGCTGCGCGGCGGGAGTGTCCGGGCGCGGCGTGGGCGGGCGGGCGAGGCTGGGCCAGGCGGGCGCGGGCGCATGCGGCAGGGCGCGTGCGGCTGGCGGCGGCGGGCGGGCAGGCAGGGGTGCGTGCGAGCGGGCAGGGCTCGCGCGCGGTATTTAGGCCCTGTTTGGTTGAGCTGTGGCTGTGGGAGAAAGCTGCTGTGGGCTGTGAGCTGTGGAAAAGCTGCTGTGGGCTGTGAGCTGTAGAAAAACTGAAAGCTGTTTGGTTAAACAAGTATAAAATATACATTTTATCTTTATCTCTCTTGAAACAACTATGGAAGAGCTTTTTATTCCATCAATTTCGAAAAGCAGAAAGCCAAAAGCCAAAAGCAGGGTCAAACCAGCTTTCAAAAATGAACTACGGAAAAGCAGCTGCTTCTAAAAAAGCACCCTCCAAAAACAGCCCCTTTGGTTGGGCTTTTGGCTTTGGCTTTTGGGGCCAAAAGCCAAAGCCAAAAGCCCAACCAAACAGGGCCTTATTTGGCCCAGCCGCGCCACGGATCAGGGCGCGGCACTGCCGCGCCAAGGTCGGTGGCGCGGCAGGCCCTGCCACGCCAGCGGTCACCGCTTCTGGTCGTCGCCACGTTAGTCCTCTGCCGCGCCACCATGCATGGTGCGATACGGGCATTTGGCCGCGCCAAGGCAATTGGCGCGGCCAAAAGTGTTAGTTAAAAAAAATCGAGAGTGTTAAAATTAAAATTAATTTCGAAAAAGTGTTAAAATTAAAAAAAAATCGTCAGAGAAGTCACCTTCGGACTGAAAATTGATGAAATGTAAGCGGCAAGGTTGAAGAGTAAACAATAG